AGATAAGGATATGAACGCAACGGCGCCGACGAAAGCAGAATGAGACCTGTTTTAAGAGTAAAGGAAAAAATGGTAACAATAAGAATATGGGTAAAGAAAATGTTGTTATAAGAATGCAAGTATACTAATATACTCTAATCAATCAATCGGATGGTAACATCTTATAAGATCATATCTTTGATCTTGTCTGGTCTTACTAGATCGGACAGATATTGTACAAAAAATCATCATCTCTGAAACCTTACGCTAAGTTGTTTAATAAGATTCTTGAAATATCTTGCTGTCTAGTAAGATATCATTATAAGATTATAGAAAAACTTGTGTGGGGGTAAGATCTTTCAAGAATCTTACGTCAGATTTTTTTGATTTGGGTAGATCTAAGGAAATAGTCATGGGAATATAGATTTAAGGGTGTACGTCTAATGGTATTAGTTTAAACATATAAGTTTAAGGGTATTGGCATAAGAAGATAGCTATAAAGATATGGTTTCAATGTTATAATTATAAGGCTAGCTCTAAAGATATAGGTTTAAGAGTGAGTATAGGTAAAACAGAGATAGCTATAAGAGTGCAGGCGCAAGTGTATGGCTACATTGAGTTACATAACATGACCTTCAATAACGGATATCAATATGCATACTCATTGTGTATTAAACTTGAACTGAGCGCTTCAATCACTGTCATTGAACAGAACTCTAAGGAGTTGTAAATTATTTTAACAGAGTGAAAAAATATAGTGAAATACAACAGTACGATTTTCTATGACCATACAAGATCATATTGTTGGATCTTATACGTAGCTTAATATAAGGTTTCATGTAATATTTTCAAGGCCACGATTTTGCCTACGATCTTTTTGCATAATTTTGAAGTAAGATCTGATGCGAACGTACTAGAATCTGTCATCAATCTTATTATCCGATTTTCTGATCTGTATGCCTAGATAATTCTCTTTCATTCTAATATTTTTTTTCAAATTAAATTCAATTCTTGAAATAAGAAGTATATTAACCCCTGAAAATCTATAATAATAATAAGTTTAAAATAAATATTTCTATAATATCCTGTAGATGTCATTATTCTTCACGTAAATCGTTTTTTAGTTTGCATTTCTATGTAATCCTTTTGCGGAAAAGGTAGAGTTCAGGTAACAACATCCATAATGAAGTGACCGATCAGCTATATGACAGTTTAATAAATTAACTATAGAAAAAAATAATAATAAATAGATTTTTATTTTATAGTATTTTGTATTTTGATAAAATGTCTTCTTCCTATATGAACTGATATATATTTGATCTAAATTTTTATCAAGAAAATCTATTTATAAGTATTTTAATAATATTTTTATTGAATTATGGATAAATATAAAATACAAAAACAACTTGGTGATGGTACATATGGAAGTGTATTACTTGGTCATGTTAAAGATTCACAACAAGAAAAAGTTGCTATTAAACGGTAATTGTTTTCTTATAGGAATTTGATTTTAATTATTTATTCTTTTGTATATTTATTTATAATTTAGAATGAAAAAGAAATATTGTAAGTAAAAAATTTAAATAAATTTACATATCAAAATGAATTTTTTTCTATAGATTCATGGCAAGAATGTATGGATTTACGAGAAATAAAAGTATGAATTTTATTTATTTATAAATAAGAATAAATAATTATTATTCTTTTTTATTTTTTGTAAGGCTTTACAAAAAATTCGTCATCCAAATGTTGTTAAATTAAAAGAAGTTATTCGAGAAGATAATAATTTATATATGATTTTTGAGGTTATTTTCTTCATATAATGTTCTATAAAATAGAATCTTTATGTTTTATATTAGTATATGAATGAAAATCTTTATGAATTAATGAAAAAACGGTAAATTTATTTTACTATTAAGGATTTTTCTGTTTACATTTACTATGTACATAGTGATCGACTATTTCCTGAAGCCAATGTTCGTAATGTTATATTTCAAATTTTTCAGGGTTTATCTTATATGCATAAAATTGGTAAGATTATTTTATTATTAATATTAAAATATTCTTTAATCGAAAAAAAAAAATTGACTATTATTAATGATTTTGATTTTTGTTTTGTTTTCAAGGATTTTTTCATCGTGACTTAAAACCAGAAAATATACTATGCAAAGGTATTGAATTAGTTAAAATAGCTGATTTTGGTCTTGCTCGTGAACTTCGTTCGAGACCTCCTTATACTGATTAGTAAATATTTGTTTGTTGTTTTTTTATCAAAAAAAAACAAACAAACTTAATAAATAAAATACTTTAGTGTTTCTACACGATGGTATCGTGCTCCTGAGGTGCTACTTCGTTCGACTTCATATACATCTCCAATTGATATATGGGCAGGTAAAACAAATCATATCACATCTCATCGTTAAATATATATATATATATATGTTATCAATTCAATCCTTTAGTTGGATGTATTGCTGCAGAATTATATACATTACGACCATTATTTCCTGGAAGTAGTGAAATTGATCAAATGTTTAAAGTTTGTGCTGTTATGGGTACACCGAGTAGAGTCAGTTACTTTTTTTTTCTATGATCAATTTTTTTTTTTTTTTTTTTTTTTTGTTGATTATGAATGAATTTTAAAATATAGGATGAATGGGCTGAAGGTTATATGTTAGCAGCTAAATTATCATTTCGTTGGCCACAATGTGCTCGAACAGATTTAAGAAAAATAATTCATAGTGCAAATAATGATGGTATTGATATAATTAAAGCAACACTTGAATGGGATTGGAAACGACGACCAAATGCAGCACAAGTATAAAAATATTTTCTATAAAATAAAATTGTTTTTATTTTTATTTTTATCATTTATTTAGTGTTTAAAACATCCATATTTTAAAGTAAGTCAAGATGTACCAACAACAACAACAACAACAACAACAAATAAACGTACATCAATCAGTAATGATTCAACATTAATAAATTCAGCAAGATCTCGTGATTCAAAACCAATATTTGCAGATGATTGGGAAACAGATGAAGTAAGAAAAATATCGAATTATTCGAAAAATTTTAAACAAAAATTTTTTTTTTCATTTTGAATTTACTGAAAAGAATTTCAGATAAACTAAAAGCTATTAATTACGAAAAACAAAGCATATTGTTCACTTTCTGAGTTTTTCGATGAAGAAAAGTTCTTCGAAATTTTCCTTCCGATATATTTTTGCAATTACTTAACCACAAATAAATAGTTGTTTTAAAGAATACTTATTATATCAAAATAAAGGTTCTAATTCAAGAAGTAAGAGAGAGAGAGAGTCAATAAAGAAAATTTGTTACATGCGTTTTCTAAATTCTCAAAAAGAAAACAATTCTTTAATGTTGAATAATCAAAATATGAAAACAGATTTCTTTCATTTTTTTATATTTGTATATGAACGGTATGATTTTTTGTGTGAAGAAACTCAAATAAACCAAGTATCACTTTCTCACATACACTTCTCTCATCAAGCTCGTCACATAGAATTATTCTTTGTAAAGAAGTATTCACTTAATACAAGTGTTTTTTTGTATCTTCGCCAAGAGGTCTATAGTCACAAGTAGAAATTAACATAAATTTTGTGGTTTTTGATTGAAGAAGAGCATGAAATACTACGTTTAAAATATTTCTTTAATCGAACTAAACTAAAAAAAAAAAACTACTTGTTCAGACACATTTGTACAAATTTATTGATTTTCTAGGAAAAAAAAATATATCTTTTTTTGTTAGGATAAAAGTTCATCTACTCCCGATGACATACATGATATAGATGCGTTATTAAAAAAAATGGAACAAAACAAAAAACCTGTTATAAAGGAAAAAAATCCTCAACAAGAAAAATCAACGATACCAAATTTTTCTACATTGCATAAAAATGATTCATCAATCTCAGATAATCAAAAAGGACATATTCCAAATCCAAATTTTTCTTTTCCTACTGACCAACGTCGAACACTAAATATTAGACGACCATCTAAAATATCAATTGATCAATCATTGGATATAGATGATATATTACATGGTCGATCAAATCAATCTCAACAACCATCATACTTTAAACCATCAATACAACCAGTAAAAAATTCACCATCATCAAAAAGAAAAGATAGTTTATCAGATTTGTTAAATCAAGATCAAAAACTAACAACAAAAAATTATCCTGCTCAATTATCAAATATAGTTCCACAAAAAATAACAACAAATGTACATGGTAAACCGATCATTAATCTTAATCCAGATGATTTTTTTTCTAATACAAATAATCGAGATCAAAGTCCAAGAAGAGCATCAATAACAACAACGAAAACATCTGCTAGCCATTATTATTTAGGAAGTTCAAGATATAAACCAGGTCAAATTTTTTTGTTATTTTGAATAACAAAACAAAAAAAATAAAATCTTTATTCTTCAATTATTTTAGGTATTAATCCTAAACCAACAGTACGCAATGATGGATTCAATTGGCTTACGGAACCATCAAATAACAGTAATGCAGCAGGTATGAAAATTTTCTACAATAATTATTAGATAAGTTTCTTATTCGATATTATCTAGCTCGCGGTCCAAAATTATCATCCTATGTACCAACATTTGGTGATCAAAGAAAACGTATGTTTGAAAATTTTTGTTTTTTTTTTTTT